GCGCCGGCGATACTTAAACTTTAAAGGTTCGTAACTCAGCAGGATCTCAAGCAAAAAGGGTTTGTAACCAGTGTTTCGGAAACGTCTTGACACCAGCTTTAAGGATATGTAAAAGAAAATAGGTGTTTTCATTTAAGATTTCAAAGTTGACCTTCACGGTGTCCTTCAAGGTCACATGAAGGTCATTTCAACATAACCATATAATAGATCACTTGATATACTAAAACTTTGGTATTGAACATTTTTTTCCATAAGCATTATTTTCCAAGATATTTGACCGTTCCCGAACTTTCTCCCATCACTGTATAAGTACATATAACAAAATTAATAATTATAGTAATAAAGAAAAGAAAAAAAAGAAAAAAAGAGAGAGAGAGAGAAATTTCTTTTTCTTCCCACAATAAAAACAAACGAAATTAAAAAAAAAACATATCTATACTTAAATTGTAGCAAGATGGACATCAAAAGTATCAACACTCGAGATCTGAGTCGAGGTACCTTGCACGTCAGAATTATCAAAGTAGACTCACCATCACTCATTTGGATCCAACTGTACCATGCCCGAGAAGATCTCGAGGAACTCATCGAAGACCTCACTAGGCAAATGGCCCGAAGAGGGCGAGGATTACCTAATTCTCAACCCCGATCATGCGTTACCGGATGCATACGTTGCCGTGCAAGAAGGAAGGACCTGGCAGCGAGGAGTGATAATCAACCTTGAAGGGAAAGACACTGTCACTGTGGCTCTACGAGACTGGGGCCGTGTCATCCGACGCCCGATCACCGATATGTATATATTGGACCGCTTCCGAGAATTGAATTGGCAAGACATCCCTTGCGGGCTGGCCCACCTCCGCCCGGTGGGGGCCAGATCAAGATGGTCCCGCAATAGTAGAGCTCTCACCAGACTCTTATTAGGGAGGAGAGAAGGATGGATGCAGATCCTCGAATCCATAGAAGACTATGCCGCAATAATCACGCTCGAACTAAAGCGGGAGAGCGAGGACGAAACAAGCAGCTTGAAAGATCTACTCATCTCAATGGGATGTGCCTTACATACTGACGCGAAAGCAGTACCAACAATACCTGGGATCCTGTAATAACATCAGCCTACATCTTTATTCCTATGATAATTATATTAAGACATTTTATATATTCCTTATTTTGTATATCCTCACACATATACTCTATTATGAAAATTATGTAAAATTATATAATATTCCCTATATCTTTTGTTACATTATTACAGTTTATATTCATAATATCCATACATACACGTAGATTTGTGCTATATAATCTTTATAACTATCATCTTTAAATACTATTAGACCAAATGCATTTTTTTTAAAATGTAGTTATCTTAACATTATATTCCTAGCATGACGGATATGCGGGATATAAAAAAAAATTTATATATATATTTAAAAAAATATATATATATAAAAAATAAAAAATCTTTTATTTAATATAATTTAAGGAAAAATATATATATCAAGAAAAAATTTACATAAATCATAATTATATTTTAAGGGAAGAAAAAAAATATATATATATGTAAACGTTAATAAATTTCGGTTAAGTAATGGTTTAGATTGTTTGAGGGATCTAGCAAAGCAACCCCTAAAAAAGGCCGATTGCCACCTGAGAAATGCAAAAAAAGGGGGGGGGGGAGAAATGTGTTCCTTTTTATTTTATAATTTATCCTACCTCGCACCCCGATATTACTGCTAATACCTTGACAACGCTACAGTGCTCCCCAAGAAAAGACAAATAGGCACATTACGTGCCGACACATCCATAATGAACCATAAGGTCATTATCCTTAATTACCGAAGCCTACAGAGGCTTCACATACGGTCTAACAGACCACACTATCCACGTCAAGTGTTTAACCTGCAGTTAAGTGTCAAGGATAAATCGGAGTCGCAACCTGCCTGCAAGGCACACTCACGACGGGTATAAGTGAGCTACCCCATGGGGACCCGACGCAAAGAAAACCCCGCGTGGCACTTAAGAAATTTACACTACTCCCGCGTATTCTCCATCTGGCAACTTCGAGCGATGAAAAAAAAAGGGGGAGAAGAGAAAATCTTTGTTGTTCCTCCTAACTTACATAAAAGAAAAGAAAAAATTATATATATATATTTTTATTATTAAAAAAAAAAAAGAAAAAAATTCTATATACATATGTATTTTTATTAAATAAAAGAGAAGATGCATATATACATCGATATTTATGGACGCATATACATCTCACCTACCCGTCAAGCTAATTAAATTTCCTTTGTTTCTAGATTATTAGTAATATGCGTATTATCATTTTTTATGTTGTTAAATAATCATTATTGTAAAAAAAAAGGGAGTACGAAAGAAACAAGGAAGGGGTTTTAGAGGTCGCCTTATCTTTCTTTCCTACTTCTTTCTCTAATCTACGAACTCAAGGAGGATGCCTGTTGAAAAGCGGGATGCTAGAACATATCACGTTACAACCGCATTAGCGTAACCACAACCAGCCATCCTCCGATTGAAAACTTTAAATCTCGTTTTACGTAACAATGAGATACTCTCCACACAAATAAGAAGGACGAAGGAACGAAATGCAAAAATCGAAATACTCTTTTCTTCCTCCTTCTCCTTAAAACAAAAACAAACATACTCAAAGTGCGACACCGATTCTAAACTGTCGAGAGGGAAGAGTGCGCATCTTCTGCAGATGTTGTGTTTTTAGTCCCAACATCTGTCTAAGGCTGGGGGTGTTACGTCCAGCGG